ATTTTCTCAGTATTTCAGCTTGTTTGTGATATATGAGATTTTTTTTCTCAAATTCATTTGGTAGAGCACACTATCCTATACATATATGTGATGAGCAAATGTTCAAGAATCCTACATTTTGAAAGAATCGGAATGGAAATCTATAGCTTTAATCCTGGTAGACAAAGTAGACAAGCTCTTCGTGGGATCGCGCCAAAAAATTCTAGCCAGCAAGAACTAGTCTGCAATATTTGCTTATTCAAAAAACGTTTGATATGTGACAGCGTATAATAAGCTCCGAGCGTATCACTCTTCATCCCAGAAGTTTGCTTTCTTGGAACATTCGTGTTTCAGAGTCTTCGTTTGGAACCTGCACCCACGGAAGTTGTGAATAAGCTGGAAGGAACGTATGCTATTTATGATCTTCGAAACAAACCCAGCGACGAATCCTTCACTGTATCAGCTTCCTACGACAAACCAAGCCCCAGCAATATTGTGTTGCATTCACCAGTGAGGTAAGCAGGAGCTAATCAACAGGATGTTTTATGACATAATGTATTGCCCATCGCCGATACTGTCCATACGCGGTACCGCTTCAGCGTCTCGAAAAGTTTCATGTCTTCAACCCATGAAATTTGGTTGCACTTCAACTTGTCAGCTAGCGGAAATACTTTGATGTAGACATAACCGGCCTCAGAATTTTTTGAGTAGAGCGGGAAGGGTAAGCAAAGGGGCGACAAGTAGTCCTTGTTTCATGCTCGAAAATTTTACTAGGTGCTTCTGAACTCCTTGCGTGTGTCTCTGGAATTTTAGGAAGAGCAAGACAGTAATCATGCTCCGAATAAGTTATTTACTAAGATAACAAATTTTTTACGAGTGCGAGTAGCGGGGAAGAGTGGGAGAGGTCGCTGGAACCTCAAAGGTGCTACATTGCCGCGAAAATGCGCGAGCATTTTTTCAAAATCTCGATTTATAAGAGGAAATACAATGGATAATCAATCAATTTTATCGCAGGCACGTACTGAATAAGCATCATTTTCATTATGAGTGCTTTCCGCTCAATTAG